CTTGTGATTATTTATGCATTTATTTACTGCACTTTATGCTGCTCATTCATATATTTATGGAATGTATGTATCTCAGTTTCAAGAACTTTAGGCAGTATACAAGCACAAAGTAACATAGTCAATAAAATAACACAATAATACAATAAACCCAAAAGATAATCATATATAATTACAGTAATGCTTGTATTTCTTGCCAGCAAATATACAACAGTGGTGGGATTCAACTTTTTTTACTACCGTTTCTGTGGGTGTGGCTTAGTGGGAGTGACATGGCTTGGTGGGCGTGGCAGGGAAGGATACTGTAAAATCTCCATTCCCTCTCCACTCCAGGGGAAGGTTACTACAAAATCCCCATTTCCTCCTGATCAGCTGGGACTCTGGAGGCAGAGAATAGATGGGGGCAGGACCAATCAGAGGTGGTATTTACTGGTTCTCCAAACTACTCAAAATTTCCGCTACCGGTTCTCCAGAACTGGTCAGAACCTGTTGCATACCACCTCTGGGAAACTTACTGTATGGACTTTTGCCTATGTCTCCATTTTGGTCAACATTTGATTGTGTTCCTTGCTTACTAGATAGTCCCAGTTTTCTTATCATGGAAACTTTCATTTAGCATTTCCCCATTTTCAGCCACCAATGTGGAAAGAAGAGCTTTCGTATGGCTGGGTGTCCAAATTGTAGTTCCTTTGCTTTTTCAGCTTCACTACTTTGCCTCCACTGCAAATTTCAATAGCTATCAGGCTCTCAAAAGAGGATTTTATAAGAAAGAGAAAAGAGATCTGGAATTCATTTTCAAGTGCTTGACACAAAGTTGGAGCATTTGGCACGACAGATGTTTGATTCAACTAGCATGGGCAGTGGTCTTGAATGCTCTGGCTTGTAGTTCTATAAATATTTAAAGGCCGTATCCTCTTCAGCCTTGGCTTACAAAAGTGGCCATGATACCTTGCCATTCTCAGGAGCAATATTTCAACTTTGGATTCAGTTAAATGTACATCATGCTTTGTTCATTTTATCGAGAGGCATCACGAGTGTCAATTATACTTTATGACTATTCCCAGCATAGTACATGTAATGAAACTTCCTCCCATCTATTATACACAATCTAAGGTTTATTTAGTGATTTATTATATATATGAAGAACAATGTGCACATACTTTTGGCAGAGATAATTGTTGGAAAGTCAACTACACATAATTCTCATAGTGACATATAATGGGTAACTTCATAGGAACAAGCTTATTTGGTGGGGGTGCCCAACCTTGGATTGCCCTCCTGTAGTGAGATAGCCTTAGACCTTATTTTATTATCTTTTCAGCATCGGGGAAAGGCATTTTTATTTTTCCATGACTTCTAACTCTAATGCTTTAATATTCATGCAACAATGGAGTTTTTAAATTTTTCTTTCTGCTGTTTACCACTTTAATTTAATGCATTTTTATATTTCTGTTTATATGCTTTTATATACATTTTGAGAGCCAATATCATGTAATAGTTAAGGTGCTGGACTAGGAATGGATTGAACTTCAGCCATGGATGCCAGCTGGATGATTTTGAGCCAATCAACTCTACTCTGGGAAGTAAAAATCATCTATCTACCCTCAGTGGTGAAATTCAATTTTTTTACTACCAGTTCTGTGGGTGTGGCTTGGTGGGCATGGCAAAGGAAGGATATTGCAAAGGAAGGATATTAAACTAGACTTACTCAGTTCCTTCAACCGTTCTTCATATGTTTTAGCCTCCAGTCCCCTAATCATCTTTGTTGCTCTTCTCTGCACTCTTTCTAGAGTCCCCACATCTTTTCTACATCGTGGTGACCAAAACTGGACGCAGTATTCCAAGTGTGATCAATATGATAGCTTACTCTTCAAAGGCATTAATGAAGTATATGGGGTCAGAGTCTTTATAAGCCACTTTAAGAAAGCTATATTATGAAGTACAATGTGTACATTTTTCAAATAAATAATGCAGAATGCTAGAAAATTACAGTGGAAGAAAAAAATGGAAAACCAAGGAAGGGGAATAGGTTTGAGACTCTTGAAAGAGAATATGACTGGCTGGCAGAAATCTTGCATAATGTATTAGGTTAAAAGTCCCATTTTTAAACTGTATTACCTAGGTTTTTCTCCTTTTCCTACCCTGAATTAAGGGATTACAGAGTCATTAAAGCTTGATCACAGAATATCAGAGGTAAATGAATCTCTCTCTCTCTGTGTATGTCTGTGTGATATGTAGGGAAGAAGCAGGACTGAAGATCAATTAAATATTTTTATGGAATTTGCCACAAATTCTAACCGTTTCAAACAGTCACTAAACAAATGGTTGTAAATTGAGGACTGCTTGTATCTTTATCGCGCAATCCTTGGCATACCAGGAAATACTGTAGCAGGGATACCTGATGGAATCAGAATGTGCGTAGAAGCTCCTGTGCAATTTGAACCATGCTAAAGCAGAAATCTGCTTCCAACTTTCCCTCTTAGAGAATACATGTTGACCTCAGATTACAACCATTTATTCAGCGGCTATTCAAAGTTACAACAGAGTGCTGAATGAAGGAGACTTACGACCAATCTATTAAGTTGCGACTGTTAACAGCATCCCTGTGGTTCATGGGATTGCAATTTTAGCACTTGACATCCAGCTCACAATTACTATAGTTGCAGCATCCTGCAGTGATACCAATGCCATTTGCTACCTTCCGTTCTGTCTTTGCCTAAGCAACTGAGAAGCTGGCAGAAGATGGATCTTGCTGCTCATTTGCCTGCCTGTCAATGCTCTACAGTGCCTGCCTGCAGCACCTGCCCACCCACCCACTTCATAGCACCTATAGCACTTGCCCCTCTGCCCACCCATGCCTCTGTTTGCCTGTGTTCTATAGCACCCATTCACAGCGCTCACCCCATTGCCTGGTGGTTTGTTTGCCTGGGAATTCCACTTCTTCCCACATTGTTATGTTGAGGTCCTTGTTTAACAACCTACATATTTCTAAGGCTTTGACAGCAATTGGGATAGTTGTTGCTAAGCAATTCAGTCATATGACATCAAGCTTTACAACCACATCCCAAATGCCTTTAACTTGCAGACTGTAAGGATGGGCACTGAAACTAAGTGGATGGAGAGTATTTGTATGCGTGCATGCTCTCTTCTTCCTCATGATCATTGTTGATGTTATTTGTGAATTTATATGACCATCTATTTGAAATGACTTTTAGCCTATTGGAATCTGTGGTATCTAAGTTGTACCGCTTTGATAAGTATTTTGGAACTAAGGCCTGAAATACTTAAGCTTTTAACAAGAAACTCAGCCTGGTGATCTGGGATGGTTTTTTCTCTCTCTTCCTCCCTGTTTGTAGTCTCTCTGTCTGTCTTGTTTTCAGCTCTTGTATGAATGAAGGGACGTGGTGGCTTAGTGGCTAAGACGCTGAGCTTGTCGATCAGAAAGGTTGACAATTTGGTGGTTCTAATCCCTAGTGCGGCGTAACGGGAGTGAGCTCCCGTTACTTGTCCCAGCTTCTGCCAACCTAGCAGTTTGAAAGGATGTAAAAAATGCAAGTAGAAAAATAGGGACCACCTTTGGTGGGAAGGTAACAGTGTTCCGTGTGCCTTTGGCATTTAGTCATGCCGGCCTCATGACCGCGGAGATGTTTTCGGGCAGCGCTGGCTCTTCGGCTTTGAAACAGAGATTAGCACTGCCCCCTAGAGTCAGGAATGACTAGCATATATGTGCGAGGGGAACCTTTACCTTGTGAATAAAGTGGAAATTAGAGGGAGGAACCCATGTGTTTCCCGAAGTCCTTGGAGAAACAGTCAAATCAACATTTCTTTAATAAAATTATTAAATAATGTAGGATTGGATTAAAGCTCCTACATTGCAGCTCCTGGGGGGTTTTCTTAGATGAGATCTGGATTTCTTAACTACGCTAGTGAGAATTAAAAACAGAAATATTTTTAATTGTAACATAGTCAAGAGATCCAGATCTCATCCAGACAATTAAAAATAGAATTATTTTTAATTGTCTGGAATGAAACTATGAACAGAAACTTATATAGCAGATGGAAGAAAACATATTGACAACTATTCTAAATGCTGTATTGCTTGCTTTTCTCCTCTCGTGTTATTTCTGTGTTCCAGTATGGGTAAAAGAAGATTCTGCCAGGTGAGAAACCCAGCTTTGGAAACTCGGATGTTAAAATGGTCTAATTTTATTGACATTGTATTGTTCTAAGTTGCATCCCAGGCTTTCCCTCCAAGTTTCCATACCTGAGGTAATAAACCTGCAGTCCTTGGCCTAACTTTGTCATCCTCGGGGGTGGGTGAGGAGTTAAGATTTATAACAAAAGAAATTTGTCTCTTTTCCAGCAAACTGTAGGGCTGAAAGGAAAAAAAAAGTATTGGTAAAACAAAAGTGGTGAATGGATGAGGATGAGAAAGAGAAAAAATGTAAAAATTAGAATAAAAAAGGTTATTTATTCCTCTCTATATAAGAGATGACCACTTTTATGCCCCAGGGCCACATATGGACTTAGGAAGCCTTGTGTGTGGCCCCCTGTACAAGCATAGCTCATTTTATTGCATTGTGCTTTATTGTGCTTTGCAGATCTCTCTCTCTCTGTGTTGTGTTGTGTGTGTGTGTTTGTGTGTGTGTTTTACGAGACCCTCCACCAACAAAATAATTATAGCTTGTTTTGAAGGCCCAGATGTTGATTAGCACTTTTTAGCAATAAAGTCTTTTTTTAATTAAGGTATCCACATTGGGTTTTTTAGACATAATGCTATTGCACAATTAATAGTCTACAGTTGATTGTAAACATAATTTTTATATGCCCTTGGAAACCCAAAAAAATTCTGTGACTCACTTTATTGCAATATTTGCTTTATTGCAGTGGTCTGGAATCAAACCCACAATATCCCCAAAGGTATGCTTGTACTTCTTCAAAAGTCACCCTCCCCAGCTATAATGCTTAATGAAAGAGAAGAGCAAAATAATTCAGACAGGGAGTACCATTTACCATGTTTATTGAACATTTACAAATGAACATTAACTCTAATTTAAAACCATTCCTTGCTCACCCACTCCTTTGTGTTGGGACCCGTCTGCTTTCAAAGTGGCCCAACCCTGGCGTGCCAGTCTGTGGCCGGTTACAATCTTCAGCTTGAAAAAAGGCTGCACTGTTTATTACTGGGCATGGCAAAGACGATGTGCACCCAAGATTTGATGGAAAACATTATGTCTGGCAGGAAATGCAGATCTTTCTAGCATCCAAGTTCAGGTGCAGGGGACCAAAAGCAATCCAAGTTGTAACTGAGGCAAAAGCAAAAATCCCAGAATTGCCTCTTCTTGAGAATAAAACCAAGAAAACAATGGTTTGCAGCCTTTTCAACCTGTTGCCTTACTCTGTCCAACGGTAGAGCTGGCTCTGACAGAAAATTCTCCATGGAGGCCCAGTGGTCCATTGCCTTGGCAACCTGGTGGTCCTTTTCCTCAACAAGGGAAGCTGAGCCTTATCACCTGTGGTTGCCGTGGTAACAGCTCTGCCAACTTCAGCCGATTTCCTTTCATTGTAGGTTAATAGCAAGGAGATGGTCCCCGTCTTCATCCATGCTTGCCTGCTATATCCTTCTCTGGAAATAGGCTTATAGTAATTCAAGTCTACATCAAGATGCTTGTCTATACTTTGAAAGTGTTTAATGATGATGCTGGGTATCCTCCTCTGTGCATCCAAAGGACATATCCATTGAGCCTGACCTGCAGGGAACCCAATGTGTTGTTCAAAAAGGGACATTTCTTTTCCTGGTTGTGCCAAGCAAGAATTTGGGGTGGAAAGTTCTCTTGCTCTTTTCTTTCTTCCTTCATTTCTTCAGTTCCCCTTCGCTCTCAGGTAGTCTGCTAGTTTCTCCACTGCCTCGACGCAGACACTGGGGTACATACCTTGGCAATATGTTCCAACCAGGATAAAGCTTCCTGTTTTAACTATGATCACTCCATCTCCTTTTACTTTAAGGTAGATGGAGTTGCCATCGGCTCTGTAGCATTTGTAATACCGGTCATTAAAGTACTGCCCTTCCTTCCGTATTTGGGTCTGGTTGTTGAAGAAGGCTTGGACGAAGATTAAGGCCCAGTTTTGAATATTGAAGCCTGGAGTTGCTGCCATCACATTCATGTCGGCAATTCTGATGAGGGCGGCTTTTTCTACATGCTTTGTCTTGATGAGACCGTCAAGCAGCAGAGTTTGTGCCTGGTTCATCTCCCTCTGCGTTTGGTAACTAAGGCTTTGGCTTCTCCCTTGAGAATGTAAACAGTTTAGTTGCCCTGGTTTCTCCCAAGGGATTCTGGGAATTGTAGTTTATGAAGAATGCTGAGCTCACATGCACAGCCATAGACTAGGTAAGGAGCAGAATTCAGCCCAGCCTCTTCTATGAAATTGCAAACTTTGTTTTGTTTTTACATCTCTTTTCCTTTTTAAAGATAGAGACCCAGAGCAAAGTGTGGAAGGAGAATTTTTTCAAACAGGTTTGAAAGGAGAGTGGAAAATCGCCCTATGTTCTAACTCGTCTCTTAACCTTGAATAGACTGCACTGATACTTGAATATAACTCCTACACTCCTTCTGATCCTGACTTAAATACCAATTTGCACCTCAAAGAAAAATGACATTGAAGATGTCAAACAAAAAAAAATAGACCACAGGAATCTGTTACTTTCCTCATTTGGATTTTTAGCAAAAGTAAAATGACTTATAAATTTAATTTTGGGGAGGGCATAGTTTTCCTTTCACAAAGATATGAAGTCAGAAATAAAGAATTAAGAATGATACCTCTATTAATCTTGGATCTTTTATACTGCTTCAAAAATCTGCAGAATTTATTTGATTAAAGATAAAAATGAAATGCAATAAAATTGTTCTGATTTTCTTAAATACTTAAATTATTGGTCCTTAGAAGTGCCATCCACCAAATAGACATTTCACAGTGTTTGTTCTTAGATAAGAACAATCAATTTTTCTGAAACCTGCAAATGGACCAGTTGAGAAGTGTTTATTAAACAATATCAGATTGGTTTCCACGCAGGTTCTGAAATCATTAAGTAGACAAAGGTGCTTTTTCAAGAGGCAACTGGACTTTCTGGCTTTTCTTTAAAGATGTTTTGCTTCTCATCCAAGAAGTTTCTTCAGCTCTGGAGAGCTCTGGAGAGCTAAAGAAGCTTCTTGGATGAGAAGCGAACCATCTTCAAAAAAAACCCAGAAAGTCCAGTTGCCTCTTGAAAAAGCACCTTTGGGATAACCATGACCTGGATGACTGAGGATCTCCATAGACAATAGGTAGACAGATTCCGCAGATGAGTCTGCTTCTGCCTGTGCAGCTTTCCAAAATAGTTTTTCCTTTTATATTTGAGAAAGATCTAGTTTCTTGCACTCAATATATTGCTTTGACCAAAATATGTAATTGCTGCCTCTTTGGGAGGATAGTAGTTTTCTGCCTTGAAATATAAAATGTTCAACAAGGAAAAGGGAGAAAATAAAAATCAGAAATGAAAAATATAAAATAAAAATTTTAATAGTAATATCTTATGATAACATCTCAGATGTTGATCACAGTGACTGTTTCAGGCTGAATTTATTTAATGAATTAATGGCAATAAAATTAAAACAGCTGTATTATATCTGTCTTTTAAAAAAGACTTTCATATACTGTATGAGGGAAAGTTTGTAGTCTAACATTTTCCTTGACACACAGTTTTTCTGTCTAGTACAAAACATACAATTCATTCAAAGGAAGTAATTGTTTTACTTGATTCTGCTTTCATTAGGCTCCTTCATGTGGTCCTTTCTGGGTATCATGCTTTAATAAGATTTTAAAAAATAGAAGATTTAGATAAGACCAGAAAAGATTATAAGTAGATTTGAGTCCAGAGGTGTCTGCAGGGGATTGGGGGGGGGGGGGGGGGGGGGGAGATGGCAGATGCTGTCACATACATGCTATGATGCGCTGGTATTTATTTATTTATTTATTTATTTATTTATTTATTTATTTATTTATTTATTAGATGTATATGGTGGCTATCTTGCTATACAAAGTGATTTTAACCACCAGCTGTGTTAGTTCCATGACTGCCATCATGCCATGCTGCTGACTGCCATTCAGCTGATTGGCACAATAGCCATTGCAGCTCAGCTATGCTCTCAAATAGCTTGCAGAATTCCAGAATACTTAACAATCCGTTCTCATAAGTAGGTACAAGCTGCTCCAGACACTATTGTTTCTTCTTCTTCTTCTCCTTCTCCTTCTCCTTCTCCTTCTCCTTCTTCTTCATCATCATCTCCATCTCCATCTCCATCTTCATCATATCCCACTTTTTTTAATACTTGGTCAACTCAAGGTAGTGAACGTACCTTATTGAATAAACATAATACAATACAAATACCTTGACTTGCTCTAGCTTTTTGCCATTTATGTATAACTTGGATTTGTTTGCTTTCTCCACTCAAATACAGCCACCTTCATCTTCACTATATTAATATTCAGATCTGTGCTCCTTCCTGCAACATATGACATGACTGACATTTGCTGCAAATCATTTGAGCTGTCAGCCAAAATGATGACTTCTTCTGTGTACAAAAATGCACACCCATTCCTGTCACCAGCAACTGCACCTCTAACGTCACAGCAAATATTCCTTATATGTTTGTCCATCAACACGTTAAACACCTAGAAGGGGGTGGGGCCTTTATACAATCTTGCCTTACTCCCTGCTCAAAGGCAAATACTCCAAAAGATCATATTTTATAAATACATTCAGGATCTTGTCCTTGCAGTGTCAGTCTGTCGACACCCATAAACATGGATTATTCTACATTAACCGCAACTGGCTCTCTTTCCTGACTTTAATGTAAACCATCCACAAGAAACTACTTATGAATTGGAGATTATCTGTGGTATTTGTCGTCCCTTCTTACTGCAAGGAATACTGATTCAACAGGGATTCTAATATTTGTGGCCTGCCTCCTTGAGAGAGAACAAAAGTCTTTAAAAGCCATTCCCTAAAACAGCTGTTATGCGGTTTTTGATTTTTCTCCTCCACTCCTTAACCCACTAATCACCCCTTTTACTGACCTGAATGAATGCAATTATACATCCTGGTTATTGTAAATAGACCACAAAGCATCAGGCATATCTTAAAATGATGTCATGTCTAGACACACCATTCAGGTATAAATTATTGAAAAAGTAGCTTGTTTAGTGGTTAAGAGTATAAAAAATTAACAAGATAGTTTTGCATCTGTCTTGTAAGAAGACTTTCATATGCAGGCTTGTGCTTGAAAGAATTTTCACTGACCCCCTGATTTGGGAGGAAGAGTTGGAATTCTCACCTCCCCTCTTTCCACAGCTGTTTCATTTCATATTTAGTGCAGTATTTCTCAAATGGAAATGAGGCAGGGGTGGGTTGCTAATCCCGTTCCAACCAGTTCGGTTGGAACGGGGCCGGCAGCGTCCTCATGCACGCGCGCAGTTCACGCATGCGTCTTAGCGCCTGCACGATGCTCCAGCTGCTCGCGGAGCCTCGCACAGGTGCTGTATGTGCCATTCAGCTGCTCGTGGAGAATCACGCAGGTGCTGTATGTGCCATGCGCCTGCGTGGAAGCGCAGAAGCCTTCAAAGACCGGTAAGGAGCGCGGGCGGGCGGGCGGCGTCCTCGTGCACGCACGCAGTTCACGCATGCGTCTTAGCGCCTGCACGATGCTCCAGCTGCTCGCGGAGCCTCGCACAGGTGCTGTATGTGCCATTCAGCTGCTCGTGGAGAATCACGCAGGTGCTGTATGTGCCATGCGCCTGCGTGGAAGCGCAGAAGCCTTCAAAGACCGGTAAGGAGCGCGGGCGGGCGGGCGGGCG